TCATTTCCCTATATTTCAGCTGTCGCCTGTTGCCTCTCCGCCTGTCACTGCTCTACTGRTCTCTGCAGAGAAAGAGCCTGGCACCACTTTCCTCCTTCCCCCATTGGGTATTATTTAAACATATTGCTGAGATGCCCCTCACACAATGCACACACACCCTATATCCACAGAGCAGGCAGCTGCCACCACCAGGACCAGTCTTCATACCCCTCTTTGCCCCAGCCCCATAGAGCTGCCCCTAGCCCCATCTGTCACCTCTGAGTGGCCTCCAAGTAGCCACCAGTGCCCCAGGCTGGTGTCACCTGCGCACTCGGTGGATTGTCCCCTACGCCCTCCTTTGGGTCACCCCTGTCCTGGTGCCCCTTGACTGCTCCTTCACTCATCCAGTTGTGCTTGCTGCAGCACAGAGGTTTCCTGGTGAAATGCTTGGGAAAGCTGGACTGCCCTAAGGATTGCTTGGCCTAACTTCACCTCCAAGCTAACTCACCTCATCCAGGCATTTGGGTCATCATCTAAATTAATCAGGTAAAATGAGAACAGCTGACTTCCTGAAAGCAGCCCTCAAAATTATAGAAGCAACCTGGAAGATTTTGTAACCCTTTCCTTTGTGGATTAAGACCACTTCCTGACAGTCTGAGAGCTGTAGTGGAAATAAGCATTGATCTAAGGAGAGCTTCATTTCACCAAAGCCCACTTTAACCCATACCCACCAAACTCTCTCACAGACTTTTCTCACAGTCTATATTAAGACTTACACCTCAGGGATGTATTTTATAGGCGTTCTTATTATCAGCACATTAGCTTCTGTAGCAGATTTTTTCATAAGGGAGGCACTAAGAATAGTCCAGAGCCCCTATATAATTTTTTCTTAAACCACTGTAAAAATCTGTATTGTTTATGATATGGCCTACTGAGGCTGTTTCAGTTATTTGCCATTATTTTTCATAATTTTGGCAAGTTTGGGCATTCATCACAAGCTTTCAGAGGTTTCCAGCAATGTTATTTGAAACACATAGAAAGATTTTTTGCAATTAAGTTTTTAAATTCCTGCATAACTGTAATATACTTAACATTAACCCTAACATACTTAACATTGCCATTGCTTAATCTCATGAAGACCTACCTTTTCTCCTTACTTTACACAGTAAATGAGTTTACGTTGCAGTGTTGATATCCCCAGTGATATCTCACATTTTGCACCATGGCCCTCACACATCTCACATTTTGTCTGAGATTTTTGGATGACAGACTTTATTGTGGTGCTTTTTTACTTATTTTTCGTGTCCCTTTAGCATATACATAATGTGCCTCTTAACTGCAGAGTGAACACACTCTGGAGTGTGTGTTCAATTTGAAGATTTACCTTTTAGTGAACATGTTTGCTGACTTTGAGGACTGTGACAGTGAATGAGTTATGGCACATTAGCAGCAAGCATAATGATGCTCAAGAGCATTTGGTATTCCTCATGCATAAACAACAGGTCCTTAATTTCAGCCTTTCCATTGTAGGAAGACTGCAGTAGTATCTGCTCTGGAGATATCCATAGGAAATTTAATTTTGAACTTGCTAAGTTTTAGTGCTATTCATTTTGCTAAATCACTATAAGATTAGCATCCCTTGTTCATTAGCAGGTTTTGCACCACAGCATTCCCAGTTTTCTTGCTCAGCTAGCTAGATCACACAAGATTTCCTGCATTATTCTCTGTCCTAGAAAACCTTTGTCTCCTTTCCTGTCCTTCAGGGACTGTTTTGCTGGCAGTGACCTGAATCCCACTATGATTTACCTGCACTCCTGGTGGTATTAACCTGGTTCTATAATACATAATTACATAAATTATGTACAGAAAATACATAATACCTAAGCTCTATAATACAAATTTACATTTGTACAGAAAATACAGAATTCTGTATTTTTTGTTTGGCTTTTGCCTAGAGGCCAAAGATGAACCTAAACATCTTTGGACTCTCTAGTCATACTCCTCTACTAGCATCTCAGATCCAAACACCACGTATGCAGACCTTAGCACCCACAATAAAAATCAGGAAGTTATTGTAATATTTTCCATAGGAACTCCCTCATCAGCCACAAGCCACATGTAGCCCAAGGAAGTGGTGTGTCCAGAAACAGTTTCTGTATGTCCACATGCATATTCTCTGCTTTTCCTAAGGACAACGGCCAGACCTCTGTGGACACATCAAGCAAAGAAAATAGTTGGCAAACGTATCTGGCACAGGCTCCTTCCAAAGTGTTTCTTCTCTAGGTAGTGGAAAAACATTCCACTTTTAGAAATACGCCTTACTCAGGTCTTAAAAAAAAAAAAAAAAAAAAAAGTGGTCTTGACCAGCACATGTACCCTTATTTTTGGTTGGCTTTTTTTTTTTCAGCTTGACCTTTATATTTTCAGACTTGCATGGTAGTTGATCTCAGGATAGTTTTCACCAGTTTCTGGTCATGATCTGGTGCCATTTCAGTGATTTGACTAATCCCAAAATGCAAAACTGACCATTCAGTCATAGGTCGGTCATAAACTCTATGGTGTTTTGACTTCTTTAGCATTGTTGATTTAAAAATACATAATTCATTTTTATACAGTGCAGTACATCACAATTTATGCAGTACTTCAGAACCAGTTTTTCTTCACAAGTAGGGTTACCTTTTCCCTTCCCTTCTTTTCCCTTCTCTTCTTTTCCCTTCCCTCTTTTCCCTTCCCTTTCCTTCCCTTCCCTTCTTTTCCCTTCCCTCTTTTCCTTTCCTTTTCTCACAGGGCTCTATTTTTCATAAATAAGTTAAGCATTTTTATCTATGTTTTCAGGGAACACCCTCTTTCCTATAGCTTCCATTTGCTTCTATCTCTAGCCCTTAATTAAGTTTGTCCCTGATAGTTCAAAGATCCTAGCTGAATGCAAAAAAATCTATATGGTTCCCTGCCTTCTGTCCTCTGTGAATTAGATCTTTTGTCCAAGACAGAAGTTCGAACAGAGAGAGCCCTGAAGCCGCTGTCCTTTTCAGTTGCCTTCACAGATTATGAAATAGTGTCTCTGTAGTGCCTTCGTCCAAATTTTGCAGCTCTCCCTGTATCTGCAGGATGGCCTCCTCCACCACTGCAGCAAAGCCCCCACACAAATATGCAAAGGAAAAGAGATCATGGATGTAAAAATGAACAAAGCAAAATGAAATATACTCCTGTTTTTCCAAATGGCTAGCAAAATTCTTCTAATTTTTTCTTCAGAAAAAGTCTAGATTTAAGATTTGTCTGGAGTACTACAAAAAAAAGGCTGCTTGCTCAGAAAATATGCAAATATGCAAAATAAACTCAGTCGAGCAATGATTGCTTTCTTTTTTTGACAGAAGCACCATATTTTGTGATTTTTTTTTTTTTTAGGTCTTGACTGTGTTGTGTCTGCCCGCTGTACAAAGGTCACGTAGCACTCGAGGTGTCTGAAGCCAGAAAAACAGAAAACGCRACATGCCATCTGTCGTTATGTTGCATTACAGCATAATGGCAAGATCTAAAGAACTGTTCTGAGTAATACATATGAAACTCCAGAGTTGAATAAAGCAAGAGAATCAAAGGGAAATAGCCTGATTTTTCCCTAAATTTATTTTGTTTTACAGTCTTTTTCCTTTGTCTTTTTCCAATGCTGTTGCTGCAGGTTTAGCACAATATTAATTAGTCAGTTGAGACCAGATGTGTCGTCTTCTGTGTCATGACAGCTGTGAATGCTGCCCTGATGATCAGCTCCCTTCCTTTGGCCATGACACATATCTTTTTCCATCCCTTCACGAGCTCTTCTCTCCCTGTCACTTAAGCTGTTTGTCTCCACTTTCAATGTTTTTCACAGCTGTTTTCTGCTCTAACTGGCTTCACCTCAGCATTGACATCAGCTTTGAGCTTCTCACATATAAGAACCTCTTCACAATCATCCACAAGATTACTTATTTTTCTTCAAATTCCTCTTAAAAGTTTCTTTTTCCATTTTCTTTTGTGAGGCCTATAATAGATTCATGACAACAAGATGGAAATTGGTGTGGTGAAACCAATGCAAGTTAGGCARGATTTCTTCATTACATTTGCTGCCTGCCTGGCTGTTTTTATCTACTGTTTCTTTTCTTAGGAAAAAAAAAAAACTACTTGGGGAGAGGCAAGGTTTACTTTCTGTGCTCCAAGTTTAATAAAGATAGTAGTCTTTGAGTAAGGTCGTAGTTGCTATGGTAAGACAAACAGTAAGAAAAAAAAAAAAAACAAAGAAATCATGATCACCCCATTTGTTATGTTGCAAATACTGAAATAAGGTATTATTTGTTGGTTTGCTCCATAGACAGAGGGTATTTGCCAGATCTGACTTGTGAGATACAAAAATGCTTAAAACACAGACTTCCACATTAGAAGTATTCTGTAGGGTCTTCTGTAAAACGACTTTAAACAGGAAGATTTATCTTGTCAAAGCCATATACACTTATGATTTAGGATTCTTTCTTGGTCCAAACTCTCATAGCTATAATCTTCAGAGACCAGAATGATCTCATTTCAGGTCATATCTGCCGTGAAGAATTTCTGACAGCTGGATGACTAATACCTCTAGCTAATCTGTTAAAATAAATGGATTTAATCTTGTTTCGAAGAGCCACGAACTCAAGCAAAATAAATGGTTCTTCAGGCACCTCTTTTAGCCAAAACCTCTGAAGTTATATGTGACTTCCTCCCATGAATTAATGGCATTACCGAGGGAGCTAGATAGCCAAAACACCTTAGCAGCTTTGAAAAACATCTACTTGCTTTATACACACATATAGAAATATTGAGCACAGCATGTTATACTCTAGACAGTAATGCTGAAGTGTTCATGGTGTGAATAGGCAGCTAGCATTGGTGACTCACCAATATATGTGGCTCAAAAGAGACCAGCTGAAAACAACTCTTGCCCTCARTTGCTTCCCCACCTGCCTCCCAGATGGTGCAGCTCCTGGGCCACCAAAGTGTGCAGCTGAATCAGTTCAAAATGTTGCTAAACAGGGAGCTCCAGGCTGCTGAAATCTATCGGAAGCCAGGAAGCCGCAGGAGATGTGTGAAACGGTACAGCTGTGTGCAGGAGGGMTGTTTGGAGGGCAAGTGGAAAAGGTGAGCAAAAGTGGAAAAGGGGGTTGAAAGTTGCAAAGGGAAATAYAATAGAAGTAGAATTAGTGAAAAACTTTGAGAAAATATTTACTATAAAGAGCAAGGATTAGGATTCATGTTTTTTTTTTTAAGTTTAGCTTAGATTATTTTAGAGGAATRATAAGAGGAGGATAGAGAATTCCTGAAGGCCTAGGTAAGCCAAATTGTGGTAGATAAAATGTATCAAAACTTAAGAAAGGGACTTGATGGAGGTAAAACTACATTAAAAAAATCCTGAAACAGGTTTAAAAYCTCAGAGTGGCCCTCCCTTAGACTCCTTCTTCCAAGAAATACACAGAACATGGCAGACCAATTTCCATAATGATGAATTATTTAAAAGTATTTTTCACTTTATTAGCTCAGACTTCCTGAAGTCCTGTCCCACTCTTTTTCTGCTGCTAAATTAATTAGATTGCCTTTTTCATATCATGGGTAAATGTATATGATACCTGATCATACATATATTAACCAGACTAAGCAACAGTGGTGGGGGCAGGGAATGTCAGAAGTGTCATTAATCATTATATATAGATTGCTGGGGTTTTTTGTTAGTTTGTTTTGTTTTCAGTCCAAAAGCATTCTAAAAATGGCAGAGCTTAATTCCATAGGCACTGCTGCTGCCCATTTTAACTGACCGGAAAAAAGAGCATGTTACACTTTTGCTTTTGGCCTTTTAAGACTGGGAATGCAGAAATCCAGGATAAGGCAGCAGGCCAATTATATCTCTTGTTAAGTGTTCTTATTAATTGAACTCACTTTAAGGACATACTTGATTCACAAGCCCTGATTTGCCTTGCATTAATTTGTCTCTTTTTGTATTTTCAGATTAGCAGTAACATCACAGAAATAGAAGGGTGATGACTAAATCCTGAGCTTTCCTTCCTTATTCTCTGGAGTCCTGGCTACAGATATTCTCCTCTCCAGTGTTTGTTTTGAAATCTTGGAAAATATACTTAAAAAAAAAAAATCTTGTTGCATGCCCAGGCACATCCAAACTTTCCACTTATTCTCGGACATTGGACACTGGCACTGTTCTGAGTTGAAAAAAGACACCAGGGCTGGACAAGGGGAAGGAAGTCTTGCAGCACAGTTCAGTGTTTATATTTCTGTCTCCTTGTACTCATGTGTTAACAATATTACAAATGTATTTTATCTTTTAATATTAATATAATTGTGTATGGCACTTTACAAGTAAATTTAGGCAGAAAGCCTGACATCGATTTTATTTTATATTTATTTTCAGTACAAGAAATAGGAACAGTCTGAGCTGAGGTCATCTAATCAGGTTATGTGACCACAATTAAACTGTGTAAGTTTGTGCTATTACACCCACAGATCCTGTCTTTTGCCCATTCTCCCCAATGCTTGGCAGTGCTAGCTGATTCTCATCTTCTCCGTGAACCAGTTTTGCAGCTGCTTTCTGGAAGTATTTCATGATCTATGAATATTTCCACCGTTTTCCATTGGGCTTCTGACAGAGTAAAGTACAGGTCAGCCTGCATCTAGGCCTGCCTTTCCTAGCACGTGGCTGCATCGCATCTCGGAGCCATGTGGTCATCTTTGGTTCAGTTCTGGTCACTGGGTGCTGCAGCTGTTGCTCCCAGGGACTTGATCCCAATTAGAGCTGGAAACGGAGAGCAAAGCTCCAAGCTGTGCTTCTCTGCAGAGATGCTGCTCTGCAAAGATGTCATAAAGCAAATGAGGACCTCTGCTTCTGTTGATGATGAGAGAGATGATATGTAACGGGGAAAGAAACTAGATCGAAGTATACATAATTACCTCTCCTGAGGTAAATATTTACCCACCATCCTGTTTTTTTCTGAGGATTTTAATTCATGAGAGAAAACCAAGGAATGGCTGGGTGGAAGGTAACCAGTGATTTTTGTACCGTTTTGAGGGTGTCAGGATGGCAGGGACACTCCATAGATCCTACTGTGTATTTTTTTTTCCCACCTCCCTTCCCCCCTTCTGACTGCTGCCCCGTGGCACTGTCAGCAATGGACTGCCACAGCTGAGTGAAGTGTTGGGGAAAGTTCCTACCACTGCAGCCTAAAGCATCTGCCACGTGCCCACATCAGACACATCTGTATCCTTCTGCAGACACATCTGTATCCTTCTGGGAGTGTTCCAGAGAGGTAAGCGTTCTCCGTGCTCCTAGACTGCTTCTGCACACTCCTTTGGAAGGTTTTGCTCTGAGCAGTGTGCAATGGTTTAGGACTAACCAAGCTTGTGTCTGGCACCTTGTCCCACTGTGTTGTGCCTCACTTCAGCATGTTTACTCTTCCATGTGCTGAACTTGCCTGTGCTGATTGACAGTCCTAAAAAATTTAAATGGAGAACATGGATCTCTGCTACTTCTTCTTTCTTTCTCACTAAAGATGATGATCCTTGCTGTGAAGAAGGGCACAGGTGTTTGCTAGAGGAGTTTGCAACTGCTAGTCTGTCATTTGTAGGCAAACACTGCTGGGGTCTATGGGGACTATGGAGAGAAAAAGTTAATCYACACCACATTTTTTCCAGATTAAAATGACCTAACTGATCAATCTTTAAAAAAATACAAAAAGTAAAAACACTTCTCAAAATTGTGTAATGTGCTGGCTGTTAATAAAAGTTCGGCATGAACTCACAGCTCACTAATGTTGGCTCTTTCTTTGTATGTGACAGAGAAAGGACTCCAGGACTCTCAAATTAAAATTACCAGTCTAGTCTATTTATTCATTTATTTTTTTCTTCCTCTCTCTAACAAGTTTTCCAGACCTTATTTAATTCACTGTGAAGAAGAGCCAGCTGCTGGAAAGAAACAGGCTCTGGCTGCACATCACCATGTCATGAAGAGGAGGAAAGCAAACTGTCAAAAMTGAATGACATCTGCATGTGAAGTGATCCAATGACGTATCCTAACGGTCTATGTCTTTTCTTTTAAAAACTCTATTGGCACCAGCAAATTGMATCTTTCTCTCTGGAAAAATACTCAGAAACTGGGGAAATAACTAGCATTTTAAAAAGCTCAGTTTTACAAGTAATTAATGGTTTATAAGAGCTGTAACGTTTGACTTTAATTGAGTGTGTGTGCGTTTTGTTTTAACCAGATGGTTAGAAAATGATTGGACTATAATGTATGTAAACATTGGCTGCAAGCCTTGTTAATGGCCTGCTATCCAGGTGTTGATCTGTGGAAGGTGAGACTCTTGAATATTACTTTCCGGTGCCAACTGTAGCCTTTCCCTAGTCAATGCTGAGGAGCCTGGAGAGTGCCAGCTACACTCACAACAAAGAAGAAATATTTATACTCATCTGAGATGGCAATCTGAGTTGTTTTGAAAACTCCATATTCAAAGAAGTTTTAGTTCTTGGACATAACCACAGGATAACATGAAAAATAATCACTTCACCAGGTGTTCACTTTAATAGATTCAAACCCAAACTTCATGAGTCTTGATTCAAAAAAACATGTGTTCCAGATCACCCTTTCCTTGAGGCCAAGCAAGAAATACTATCACCCTGCTCTACACCTGGCTTCTCCATAAGCACCGTGGAATTTGGAAACGACCTTCTGTGACACACCTTTGTGGTTAGAAAAGTTGATTATGCTGTTTCAAAAGTTATTGGGACATACAGTGGAAAACCTACTATAAAAAAAACTACAGAATATTCCAACTCCTTTGGAGTAAAAAACAAGGAAAACATTTACATCACAATACCTTTTGGCAAACTTGTTATATACTATTTTTTTGTTGTTATTTGCATGGGGCAGCATGTGGCCACTGCTAGTCGAAGGCCATGAGCCCTGTCTTCCAGGGGCTGGGGGGCAGAACACGTCCAGGGCAGGCACTGTGGTCCACTATTTACCTAGACAGGAATTGCAGGAATGGGCAGTACTATGGGATTTTCAAGGAGAATACAGGGCTGCAGTGAACAGCTGGAGAATCACCATAAATCAGGCTCCTAAAACTGTCCTTCTGGTACCTGGATATGGTACCGTATCCATCTAGCTCAGGGAGAGTTTCTGTTCAATAGGATCTTTGCAGTTGGTACATAAATGTACACATTTTTAAAATGGCTTTGATTTAAGACAAATGATCAAAAGTAATAAGTTTTCTTAAATGCAAATTGATTTAAAGAACAGTTTGAAATCACAGAGAAGCAGAAACTCTCAAGTAACAGAAACTCTCAAGTAATCACAGTCCCTCCTTTTTTATGATTCAGGATTTTAGCAGGTCTTCCAAGTTTTCATCTCTTTCTGCATCTAGCCTTGGCTAGAGTCAGAAACAACAGTAAAAATCTGTATACAAAAAAGTTTTATTCAATCATTCAGCAAGCTTTTATGTGAGTCTTCTGTTTTGCATTCTCCAAGTGTGTATCTTCCAATAGCGATAATTTAGCCAAAATTTCCAAAAGTGATATTTTAGTTACTTTAAAGCTCACATATGTTACTGAATGGTATTTTGGATCTTCACAGATTCGCAGAGTGGTTGAGTTTGGAAGGGACCTCTAGAGATCACTTAGTCCAGCCCCCTGCTCCAGCAGGSACACCCAGAGCACGGGGCACAGGGCGGCATCCAGGCGGGYTGGGAAGATCTCCAGACAAGGAGACTCCACAGCCTCCCTGGGCAGCCTGTGCCAGGGCTCTGGCACCCTCACAGCAAAGAAGTTCCTCCTTGCACTTAAGAACACTARTAAGTGTTTCAATTAAACTTGTAAACTTGTAAGGCCATGTACAGATTAAAACAGAAAAGAACCTTTGCAGCTGTAAATWAAGATGTGCATTTAAATAGATGTAAATTCAGATGCAGGGTTTATCTGAAAAAATGGTATTAATTTCAGTATATATGTCCTTTTTTTCAATTAAAATGGGGATTTAAAGTACAATGAAACAAAACATGCTTGAGTAGCCAACCATACAGGGGGTGACAGTGTAACAATAGCAAGTAGATGGTAAAATCTTCCCATGAAGACAGAATTCCAGCAAAGTAATGATCCTTTGAAAGAACTAGGATAAGACTGGGTTTAGAATGGGAGAGTGGAGTGATGATGATCATCACCCACTTTGAGTTGGAAGGGTTTGACATTTGCTCTACTGGAGCACAGCATTAAGGTTAGAGTTAAGGATATGTGAGTCTTCAGAGCTGCAACAACGCCCAAGTCCTGCTCAGCTCACAACTAGATGAAGACTGGCTCTGGAGCTGAAACTCATCTCATTTTTTGACATGGGAAGATTTATCAAGTATACTGCAGAAGGGCATGGTTGGGATYGGGAGAAATTAAACCCCTTAGAGCTGAAGTTTCAGCAACACCTGGCTCAACCCACAACTGAAATGACAGCAGGGCTCACAACAGCTCAACGCAAACCTGGAATCAAGAAATGGTCTTATGTCCAATGCGAGGAAAGTTGGGTTGCAAAGGCAGGAATTAGGTTAGGCAGCTGTGTGCCACCAGCTGATCCTTGAAGYCATTTTAATTGATTAAAATAACCTATTTTTTCCATTATACAACACTTGAGTGCAGATATATATTGTAGTTTTGAAAATAGAACTTTTTTTTTTGTTTAGTTTTCTTTAAACAATATTCAACGGCCTTTATCCCCTTTGGATGTCGCAGAATGAATCAGATGAGGGATCAAGTATTTTGTTACATTCCAGAAAGAACAAAACTTGGTGGACAGTATTCCCACTGTATCCAATGTTACGCTGCAGGTATAAACAAAAATAAACTTCCCTATTARCAAGTAAATAAAATAATTATTTACAAGTGAGTAACTTTTATTTGTACAAATGAGTGAATTATAAAGCCACTGACAAATGCAGATATTTCTTCCTAGGGATAAAGTCTTTTATTGATTCTGTCTCTGTAACTATCTGTATTTCAAGCTTTTTTGAGATATCAGCTACAGAAGAAATAGGGGAATGCAAGAGCTACTTCATAATCCAGAGGAGTGTATAATGAAAAAAATGAGGGTTGCCATGGTAGAAGKTATTTGTGTATAAATAAATGCCCTGCGGTCAGTTTCTCCCTCAGATGACAGTGCTCTGCAGCCCTTGGAAGGAAAAAAAGAGAAGGCCAAATAAAATGAGATGTGCAGAGATAAAAGAAGGTTAATGAAGCTGAATGAAAAAAAATGAGAAGCAAAATTAAAGGGAGGTGGTAGGGGTAGAGACAAAGAAGTGGAGAGAGAAGAACAGGAAGATTCGTTCAGTATTCTATAAACTTAATACATAAAAATTTAGGGCTGTACGGCATAGATCAGTACTTTCCATACATTTTCACTTTTTCACAAGCATTGGCATTGGGGTAACGAAGCTCCCTGGGAGAGGAAAAGTAACAGCCCAAGACACCACAGAAGTTCTGCAGGGGAGAGTTGCCGTGCTTAAGAGAAGCTGCTGGGACTGCTTCAGCTGTGCCAGGAGGTTTTCTGTCTCCTGAAGCACCAAAGATTTCACAGGTGCTACTTTGGTTCTGCCCTTGGGCTTTGGAGTCCTAGAATGTGAAGTTTCTGCACTCACCTATCTGCCAGCCTAGGATTTTGTGTGTCTTAAGGTCACAGAGTAATAAATCTCCTGACGGGCTGTCAGCTCCTGCCTTGGTCACATCTCTCTGTTTGACATCATTGGCACCATCTTTTCTGCCCCAACATACTGAACAGAGCAGGGGCATATACTAAAAAATGAAAGACAGGTTTGTAGTAACAGCAGTTGTAGTTGCAAAATCAGCAATAACTGAATGAGAAAAAAAAATAAAGAGAAGGTAGCTGAAATACATAGCACTTTTGTCCAAAGGGATATGGCTGAAGTTTTATAAATTCATATCCAAATGAAGAACACTTTCTCTGACTGTAGTTTTTTTCTTCTAGTGTATTTCTATAACCATACAGACAAGTATTGCCACAAGCCTCCCCTCCACAGCTGTTCATGCTAAATGCTGTAATTTCAAAAGATCTCCTAAAACAGAGAGAAATGATTGTAACACATCACTCCCTTTAATTACTGGTCATAACATGTTACTTACCTAATGTTTAAGATACACATTGTTTCTATGTATCTAATCTATCTGAAGGTCTACTTATTTTACTGGGATAATTGGATGTTTATTTAAATGGTGTTTTTTCATCCATGAATGTTTTTCACAAAGATTTTTTAAGACAGCAATTATTGCAATGGTATTAGAAAGGAGATTGCTGGAGAAAGAAAGGACAAGAATGAAGAGGCAGCTATTCAGTGTCAAGAACAATCCACTTTTCTCCGAAAAAAAAAAGACATGTTAATGAACGCAGATGGTTTGTTGAAACATTTCAAGCCTTTTTTTTTGGGTTTCACTCTCTAATTTTATACTCCTCTCTAGTTCTTCCCAAATTACCATGTTGTTGATGTGAGAAAAGTGAGGCTTCTCAACCTTAAACATTAAGCCTAAGGTAAGTGAGTACCTTAGTAAGTGAGGGTCCGAACAATGGATGTAAAAGCCTAAAACCTTAGACAAAGAAGACTTCCTGTGTGTTCCAATCTTCGAAAATCAAATTCCATGAGATCCACTGCATTCTGGTTGTTTCTCATCCAGTTTCCAGTCAAAAATCCCTGCCCATGCAGAAAATCAGCAAGGGCAGAAGTGTATTCCTCAGGTTAAAGGAGTGACTCCATGGGAAGTGCCTCGGGGCAGCTGTCAGGCTTGCCTGCTCCCTGTGGCAGAAGGAATGACTGAGTCACCCCGGCCAGAAAAAGGCAACTGTCCCACACCCAGAGGGTAAAATCTAGAAGATTCAGAGGCACTTCTTCCTTATTTTTTGAAGCTAGTAAGCAGATGAGGCTGTTTTTTCTAAACATGCTCACTTGGACAGAAGCAGAAAAGCCAAAATTACATCCCTTCTCGCGCCTGTGGTTTGCACTGTCAGCTGCTTTGATTTGTCTCTGGGTATGCACACTGGGCATCTGTCACCAGGCCAAAGTGGTCAGATGTGCAAGGAGTGGTCTTTGCACCGAGTACAGCAGTTCTCTTTCCCTTCTGTGGTAAACAAAACAAATTCTAGTTGTCAACAGAGTGAAAGCTCTGTGAGTTCCCTGCAATTGTGTGGAGACAAAAGCAGTGAATAATGACGACATAGATGGCAARGTCTAAAGGGGAAAATGACTAATAATTAAAGACCCTTGGTATGAGAGTACCAAATTTGTGTGCTTATGCAGACTAATTCATAGGAGTATTTACAAWGCACTGGTGTTTCTCTTCAAATGGTGTTATGCTCTGATTAGCAATATTTCGTTGCT